CTCATTCGCATAGTCGCACATAAATTGTCATGGGAGGTGCTCACGCATGGTCGTGGAGTTGCACATTTTCGTTGGCGCAGTCGCACATGTATGGACACAGAGTTGCACAATCTCGTCCGCATAGTCACACATGAATTATCGTGGGAGGTGCTCATGCATGGCCGTGAAGTTCCACACTCTCGTTGGCACAGTCATGCATACATGGCCACGGAGTTGCACACTCTCGTCGGCATAGTCGCACATGCATGGCCACACAGTTGCACAATCTCGTCTGTATAGTCACACATGAATTGCTGTGTGAGGTGCCCACGTCCGACCACGGAGTTGTACACCCTTGTGTGCATAGTCGCACATGTGTGGCCGTGGAGTTGGGATATTTTATAGTCCCTCAAACGCGATTGTGGGGGCTGTTCACGTGCAGCGACTACTAGGCAGTTAGAGTAGTATGGGGTGGTGCCACTAGTGAAAACTGCATGGCCTGGGCAACAAACTAAGTTGCACATCTCACTGGAAGGAGGCGGCCGTTTGGGGTGGAGGTACCATAGAGGAAAATTGCACGTCTACGGTGTACAAAAAAAATTGCACATTCCTGCCAGGTAGTTGCACATCGACGGCTAGTCAGTTGCACAAAACAGGGACAAAATTGCACAAAAAAAAGTTTGTCAAGACATATCCATGCGGGATCTAGTTTCGAAGAGCACATCGCAAGAATTTCAACGGTGAAAGCGGATCTTAATTTTGATGTTTGGTTCAAAAGTTATGGCTTTTTTAAAAAACAAAAATTAAAAAGCAAACTATATTGTCAAACTTCCTTTTACATAAGGGGAATTGGGAGATTGGGACAGGTGGGCGCTCGAAATGACTAGCAAGCGTTTAGGCGCTAGTTAGACGTGTCCCAAATTTTCTTGTGTCCTGCCCCGAGGTGTAGTTTAGGTACTAGTTGCGCCGAGTAAAATCACAACATAATGCCAAAATGCAAATTGTGGTTCTCATATATTTCCTTCGTTCGGAATTATTTGTCATAAAAATAAATAAAAATAAATGTATCTATAACTAAAATATATTTAGATACATTCACTTCTTGGACGAGTAATTCCGAACGGATGTAGTACTTCTCAGTGATCTAAATGCTCAGAGTATCTGCGATAATACTACGGAGAAAAGCAACAGACTATTACGGACCCCACCCCCCAACGTGCCCTCATCTAATTGCCCCCCTCCCCCTCCCCTGATTTTCAGGTGTGGGTTCGCCTCATTTAATTTAATTCCAATCAATCAGGACCTAATCACCCCATAAATCACCCGCGAAGGGTCCATGCGTCTAGCATCTCTCTTTTTTCTGCTTACTCAATGTAGCACTATAATTTTTTGGGAGCACTATTAGAGCATCACCAACAGGAGATAGAAACCACATATGAGAAAAAACTACTTCCTTCGTCCCAACATAAGCGTGTCAATCTTAGTACAACTTTGTACTAGAGTTAATACAAAGTTGAGACACTTTTGCAACGGAGAGAGTAGTTTTTATTCATTTGGAGCAAAAAACAAAGGCTACAAAAGGAGACCAATACCTGCATACTGACCAATTTTTTTGTCCTAACCAAAAAAAATGCTATAGAAATGGTATATTTGGGTCATCACTAGCAGCCGACAAAAAATCAAAACCACAACAGTGGAAGCCCCAAATGTCTGGTCTGAAACTTTCCCACCACCGACCCTTCCTATCTCACCTCGGCACCGATCGATTCTCACTACTGTCTACGCCACCCCCTTGACCGCCGCCACCCTTCCGTTCGTTCCCGTTGGTCGGGACAGTCCGCCACGACCCTGCATCTGTCGTGGAAGCTCGGAACGTTGCGCATGTTCCCACCGATTTCGGACGCTCCCTTGCCCCTTCACCGATCAAAATCCTCACTGCCACACCAATGTCACCCGCTGAGGTGGATTAGCAGCCAGGCGACTCCCACTCAATCGGTATGACCACCCCCAAGCCGAGGCTCCATTCGAACCCCTACTATGTCGGCCTAGGCGAGCTACACTGGCAAAAACTGACCTTGGTGCCCACAAGGTGTTTGACGAAATTCCTCTAAGGTAATTACCTTTCACTTTCTGTCATTTGTTGCGTCCTAAGACTTGTTCGCGATGGTAGATTTGTGTTGTGTAGATGAATTGTTGCAAATCCTCCTCGTCGCCCGTGTATGATGATTCCTCCCCCGGAGAGGAATATGTGTGGGATGAGGATGAGGACATTACCATGGTCATGTTGCTTGACATGGAGAAAAGCAAGCAGCCAAAGCAAGGCGGTTCCGTTGTTCGTGAGGTGATTCATGGGAGCAGGTAAGATGGGTACAATAGGCTAATGCTTGATTATTTTTGTGCAAATCCGGTGTATCCAGAGTAATACTTTC